GTCGCCAAAAAAAATTAATAAAATAAAATCAGCGCAAATATACTCTGCTGCTTCGGACTGGCCCCGAGAGACAAGCGAGCCGTAAACCAGCTTGAAAGTGGTTTGCTGTGTTGCAGTGCCCAAGCAGCACCCGGCCGCCAGGGCGTATTGGTAGCTTAAGCCCCTGGCTCTGTTACTCAGTGCCTTCATAACAAGGCTATCGGACTCAAATAATTTGGGAAGTAAAATGGACTCAGACTAGAGGCTCTTCTCACCCATTTTGTCTCCAGCACTGGAAGAATGACATGCTGTGCATAAGCCTGGCTTACCCATGGTCCCTTCCCCTAGTGCTCATGCTTCGCCAGCGTCATAGAATCTTAGAATCGTTTAGGTTGGAAAAGACCTTCAAGATCATCAAGTCCAACCGTTAACCTAACACTGCCATCCCACCACTAAACCATGTCCCTAAGCAGCTAAACCATGTCCCTAAGCAACAGTCACAGGATTAGGAACATTAGCACATCTTCACCTCTTCCTTTCAGCACCTATTTATGGACCCTTGCTGCATAAATCTGCCAAAACCCCTTATTGACTCTGCGATGCAGTCTACCTCGACAAACCCCTGTGGTCTCAAATTCCAGCAGTGCACAACTTGTTGCATATAAACAATTTTCTTTTATCTGTTTTAAACTCGTACCCTACTGGTTTCAGTAAGTGCCTCCTTTTAATAATATTGCTGACTTTGGTGAATAACAGTTCAACATTCAGCTTAGTTATCATCCTCATGGTTTTGTCAAGCTCACTCAGATTTTCCCCCCCAGCTTTTTCATGTCAGAAATGAGAGCCCCCATCTCTTGTAAGGCAGCTGCTTCATCCTCTTGATCATGTAGATGCAGGGATAATTTCTCTAACTCCCTGAGGTCCTGCTGAGATCTGCAGACCTGAACTGTACTGGTAGTCAAGTACAGCTAGCTATACATACCACGGCTTCACAGAAAAGCAAAAGAATGCCACCTGCCTTGTTCTCAGTACCTTTCTGGATGGTACTAAGCTTTTTGTTGACTTTTTTTGCTGCTGCCTCCCACAGCCATTGAGGGGTAGCAATGGTGACTCTGAGATCTCTTTCCTGAGGTGTAAGTGCCGCTGCTGAGCTCAGCATTGGGTACATGAGGTTTCGATTTTCTTTTGTTACGTTCATTGCCTTACCTTTACCTACACTGAAGGTTACTGACACTTTTCTGTCCATTCATTTTTGTGAGGTCCAATTGACTTGCAGCCAAGTTTCATTTCAAAAGTGTTTGAAAAGCTGGCTGTGTTCCTCACTGACCTGTCTGGCTCCTTGCTCCTCTGTTTTTGTCTTTACCCTTGCCCTCCCTGCTGACTAACCGGAAAGAACTCACTTTCGTTTTCCCTTTTCCTCTCGCACCACCGTGGTATAAGCCTTGTTTACAAGCATTCCTGAGCCGAGCTGGTGGTGCTTTCTTCTTCATTTATGATATGCTTATGAGTTCATTTATAATAGGTGTATGATGTCTGTCCTCCTGGCTAATTATTTAGAAGTATCTTCTTGCAAGATTTTAGGTCTTTGCCATCAGATTACACACAACCAGTTCAGGTAAAAATCTAGGAAAAGAGAGTTTGCCTTTTATATGCAAGATAGATCTTCGTATTTAAAATCAGTGTAGAGAATATGAATCTGTTTTGAAATTAACTTATGGTAAGTATTTTTCAATTTCTTCCCAGGGACCTTTATCATTTTGCCTTATGTATAATATGAAATGATGTCGAAGAGCAAATGTTGAGCAAATAAAGAGCAAAACCACTGTTCTGGAGCCTCTTCACATCTCTGAGGGCCCGCTGTGCTTGCATGTAGTTATAGGGAAGAGACACAAGAAGAAGCCATATGACCATTCAAAACATTTTTGATCCACGCAAAGCAGAAAAAGAGGAAAAACCCCTGAAATTTAGTCAATGTGTAACATTAAAAATTTATCTAAGTGCACAGCCGTGAAATGTAGACAAACAGCTGTCTGAGACACATGGCAGGAATGATTTAAGTTGAAGGCCCAAAAAATGCATAGGTACATAAAATACACACAATTTTCATGTAGAATAAGCTTTAAAGGACACCAGTAAAGGGCCCTCCAGTAAAGATAAAGGTCTGTGGATAAGATCATAATAACACAGAAGTTCGTATAGTGTCAGGCCAACAGACCCTCCTCTTCTGCCCATTACAGTGGTCAGTGCCAGATGTTTGGGGAAGAGTATGGAAAGGACATAGAAGGATCCTTCTCCCAACATCTTGTCCCAGATTCTAGGAGTCATCTGTTCAAATGCTTTCTGAGCTGGAGATCACACACACACCATTAAGGACCCATGGTGGAATTCTTTCAAATGTGCCTAACTTGTATCTATATTTACATTGGGTGTTTCATAATTTGATTGCATGTGGGTTTTAACTTTCTGTTTGGTAATTTCAGTGGCATGCCTTAAATTTGTGCATCCTGAGGAGGGATGAGTCACGGCAAGTACAAGGTCCTTAACAGAATCCCATTTATGGTGCTGCAGATGCAACAGGGAGAATCATTTCCAGCTGGAAGTGGAGTGAGAAGCAATGCATTTATTAAATGCTACAAACTACATCTGCCATTGTGTGACTTGCCTGGTTGTCCTTGGAATATTTCTGGTCCTCAGAAGTGATGTGATGGCTTCTCCTTTAACCTTATTTATGTTACTGGTTCATGTCAGTAATTTGCTTTTCCTAGTAAGATACAGTTTGACTGGAACCGCCAACTAGCCACACCAGAGAAAGTGATCTCTTTTATTTAAATAAATAAAAAGACATTATTTAGATAAATAATATATCAGTTTTAAAGTTTTGCTTTCCTACCAACTAGGGAGAACAACAGCGTTATCCATGTTTATCCAGTTGAATTATTCCATGCTAGTTGCGTACCTATGTACCATCCAGTGTACCATTACTACCATTATTCAATAATTTTTGTAAAAATTATGTTGAAAAGGATTTTTGGTGTGGATTTGCAGAACTGAAACATTTTGAGTACTGGGACTCCATTGTCCCACTATAGGATGACTTCTATAGGAAAGAAAGAGAAGGAATCAGGCCTCCTACTGCTTTAAAAGAGGGTCGTGCTTTTCTGAGCATCTTCTAGAAGGCTCTAGGACAGAAAATGTCATTACGGGTCTTGCTTGCAGCACTCCTTGTTGTTTCAAAGCTAGTGCAGAAAAATGCACATTTGTGTTTCCTTGTAGGTCTCACCTCTAGCACATTAGCTAGAACAGTTTGGGAAGTAAAATGGGAATGTCTGTCTTCTTCCTGCTAGGACTTGTCCATCCGTAAGGGGCACATGGATCCGATACACAAACACTTTGTTCAAAAGTGGTGATGTTTTAATTTACTGAGTCCTTGAGCGACACTCTTCTGACGTGCTCTTGGAGTGTTTGTGTATCGGATACACGTCTTGTGTTGAGAGAAATTGGTAACCATCAGGGATGTTTAAACTTCCAAGGGCTCAGGGCTGTCCCTGCGAGGGGCGGGGGAAGGTTACCCAGGCTCAGCCCCCCCCGCCCCCCCCCTTCACGGGTCGCCCTTGCTGGCCAGAAGA